AAAAAAAAAAAGCATTTTTTATCTTTCAAATGAAAGAAGGCCACATGAGAATCCCATTATATAGAAAATATTAACCAAATTGTCAAATGTCCCAGCTTCTTACACTGTGGCTAAAATAACTGGAAATCACATTTCAAAAGTTGGTCATGTTCTGGCCAATCTCTTAGTCTGTGGTTGTAGAAAGTGGTCACGCTTGGATAATGCGATACAATTTTCTAGCCTGAAACAGAGATGCTTGAGAATTTCCACAGACTTGAAAACACTGTCTTTCATGCTGTGTGGATGTGTGTGCACACCCCTGGGGTGAATCTCCACGGAGGCCCAGTGGAAACAGGAGCTGAGGCCCACTGAGGATCCGGGTGCTGAGTTGTGCCCCACTGCGCCCTGCACCACAGGTGGCCAGGTATGGGCCAAGCCATTCATTGTTGGCAGTGAAAGGAATGATGATCAGGAAGAAGTTCTGTTAAAGGATGGGATTCATCTGAGGTTTCAGCCACACGGTAAAACTGTGACAGTTTCTGATGACATTCCAGGAGAGGAACTGACAATCCAGCAACTGGATCACTTGCTTCACCTGGAGCTCCCTGTTCATGAGCTCCCCTCTGGGTGTGAAGGGTGTGGAGGTACTGAGTGTGCGTGTGAGGGTGCAAATGTGTGTGGGTGCATCAATGAGTGTGTGAGTGAGTGATGAGTATGTATGGGGGAGTGTGTGTGATGGTACAAATGTACATGTGCATGAGTGTGTGCATGTGTGAGTTTGTGAATGTGCATGTGTATATGAGGGTGCAAATGTGTGTGGTATGTGTGCGTGTGTGTGTGAGTGTGTATGGGTAAGTAAGAGTGTGTGTGAGGGTGCAAATGTGTGAGTGTGTGATAATGTGAGTGTGTGTGTGTGTGTGAGTGTGTGGTATGTGAGAGTTTATGTATGTTTGAAGAACACATCTACCTGATTAGGCATGATTTCATGGCAGTAATGATGCAAACACTGTATCCTGTTGCTATAATATAGCAGCAACCATTTTCCAAGGGATCAAACCACAAGTCAGGGCTGTTTCCCTAGGCAGCAGAATAGATGGAAAATTGAAAACAGAAACTACTGCCAATGTAAATCCTAAAAATTACCTCCAGAAAGCACTGAAGGAACAATTAAGAAAAAGCTTGTGTGTGTAAGGAGATCTGGTGGTGTGGTGGATAAGGCACTTGACTGCTAACTGGAAAGTGAGTGGTTCAGACCCATCAGCTGCTCCATGGAAGGAAGACAGGGTGATCTACTTCTGTAAAGATTTATAGCCTCAGAAACCCAATGAGGGTCACTATGAGTCAGAAATGCCCCAGTGGCAGTGAGTTTGGTTTTTTGGTTTTTGGTGTGTGGTTTGTGTGCTTGTGTGGGTGCTTGTGTGTATGTGTGCATGTGTTTGTGTGTATGAATCCATGTGTTTGTATGTATGTGTGCATGTGTTTGTGTGTATGAATACATGTGTTTGTACGTATGTGCTTGTGTGGGTGCTTGTGTGACTGCATACATGTGTATGGGCAAGTATGTGTGTTTGTATATGAAGGCAATTTTCTATGTGCTCAAATCTTTCTCTCTGCACCTTATCATCATCTATAAATATGTTAGTTATAGGATAGAAACTTCTACTGAGAAAATTGGAAGAGTTTAGTTAGGGTTGAGAAAGCCTAGGGAAACGCAGTTTCCTAAGGATATACTCGGGGGCAGGGGTGGTTTGGGGTAGAATTCCTGCCTTCCACATGGAAGACCCCAGTTTGATTCCCGGCTATTGCTCCTCATGCACGACCACCACCTGTCTCAGTGGAGGCTCGTGTGCTGCTGTGATGCTGAATGGGTTTCAGAGAAGCTTCCAGAGTAAGAGACCAGGAAGAATAGTCTGGTGATCTATTTCCAAAACTCAGCTGATGAAAACCCTCGATCACAATGGTCCTGTCACTGACAGATCATGGAGAGGGTGCAGGACTGGGCAGCGTTTCATCCGGTTTTACATGGGGTCACCATGAATTAGGGGTGACTCAATAGAGTAACAACAACCAGGATATACTCAGGACCTAAATTTCTAGGAGAATTCTGATCAGCACTAAGAATATGAGATTCCCCACTCCCCAGTGACCTACAGGGAGACAGAGGCATGCCCTTACTCAAGCATCACTTGTACGGCACAATTATATGGACAAATGTGTTCCTGTGATTGTCCCCGCAGGAGTGCCCTGCTTCCTTCACTAGTGTACAAGTACTCTGAGAGAACCTGAGAACTTCCAATTAGACAAAAAATACTGCATGATCTCACTTATATGAAATATGCTAGTACAGAGAACCCAAAGATTATTAGTGGTGACCAGGAGTAGGAAGGAGGGAGCCCAGGGGAACATCTGTTTAGGAAGCATCGAGTTTACTTGAATACCAAAACCAAACTCACTGCCATCCACTTGAGGTGGTAGGCTATTTTGGGAAAGGACAGTGATAATGGTGGCACAACACAAAAAACGTAATCACTGTCATTAAACTGTAAATGTGTAAGGTATTTGCTGGCAAACGTTTTGGGTGTATATTTTCACTGCAACAATAAATGAAAGGTTTGCTCCTGTTCCAGGGAGTTTGCCAATCACTGGAAAACTTGTTGCCACAGAATCAGGAAATTCTTGCATAATAAAAAACTGACTGAAAGAAGTCATTTTGTGAGAAAGTATGTGCACTGCTGTATGGAAGATGAATTTTCTCTGTAAACTTTCACCCAAATCACAATGAATTTTTTTTTTAAGTCATTTTGTAGTCCCTCTCCCTCCCCCGTGCTTTTTCTACACTCCTATTGGAACCTGTTTCTCAAAACACAGAAGCTTCCCCCTTTGGTACTGGCCCAGCACAAGCCTCTGGACTATGGATCTCTTTAAGGACATCTTTTTTGGCCTCCAAATTCCATTTAAAATATCAGAACCATACCCTTCCCCTTCGGCATCCAGGGCAGCAGCCAATTCGGTGAAGAGCAGTCCGGTGAGAAAGTGCTGCTGGCGGTACTCGGGAGTCAGATCGAACATGCTGGCGAACTTCTGGTCTTGCAGGCTGGAACCGGAACTGGAGTTCTGCAGAATGAAAGTTCTAACTATAATAATGTTTAACTGACCACTCGTCTGTCAGTTTGTCATACTGTGGTGGCTTCATGCCTCTGTGAGGCTGGAGGCTATGCCACGGTATTTAAAATACCAGCAGGGTTGCCCATGATAGACAAGTTTCAGTGGATCTTCCAGACTAAGCTGGACTGGGAAGAACTGGCCTAGTGAAAACCTTATGAATAGCAGTGAAACACTGGTATATGGACTGGGCAGTTGTTCATTCTGTTGTACATAGGGCTGCTGTGAGTCAGAGTGAACTCAGCGGCACCTAATAACAATAATAATGTTGTTGGGTGCTGTTGAGTCGATTCCAACTCCTGGTGACCCCATGTGACAGAGTCGACCTGCCCCATAGTTTCCCAGGCTGTCATCTTTGTAGGAACAGATGGCCAGGTCTTCTCCCCCTTTTGGTTAGCAGCCTAACACTTAACCACTGTGCCACCAGGGCTCCTATAATAACAGCAGCTAGTACTTATTGAGTACTTACTACAGTCAGGCTTGGCAAGAACTACCCAGTGAGGCAGGTACCATATTATCCCCATGTTCCAGAGGAGGACACTGAGGTCTGGGGCTGTTACGTTGGTTCACCACACCCACAGATGGAGGGTCCCTGGGTGGTGCAGTAAATGCTCAGCTGCTAACTGAAAGGCTGGAGGTTTGTGTCCACCCAAAGGCACCTTGGCAGAAAGGTCTGACGATCAACTGTTGAAAAATCAACCCTCGAAACCCCAGGGGATACAGTTCTACTCTGACACACATGGGGACACACGGAGTCAAAGTTGACTCCGCAGCACCCAGTTTAGGTGTATACATGGAGGACTGCTAATTGGGAAAAGTGAAAATAAAGCACTCAGGACCTGGCCAAAATTGGATACTATTGTCTTCTCCAGCCCAAGTCAAAAGCTGAAGATTCAAATCCTAGGCTGCAATTTGGATAGGGATGTTGGGGACTGTGTCTCAGTCTGCAGTGGGACAGTAATTCCTCCCATCTTGTTTAAGGTTTTGTTTACCCAGCTACACTTATGAATATCCCTAAGCACACTGTCTGGATTTTGCTAGGTGGGACCTACAGGTGGTGTCTCGTAGGGAGGTGTCAGATTGATGACCAGGGTGATTCCTGAATACTTATCAGGCTTGCTGGGTCTTCACTGGGAGAATCTCAAGCATTTCTGAAGATCTTCACAGTGTGGTGAGATGGAGCCTGGCCCTGGGTTTGGTGCCTACCCTGGCCTTCAGTGCCGGAATGTGGGAAAGAACCAACAGAAAGTTAACCCCTGTCATCTTAGGAGAGCACCTGCTCGGCGGGATGCAACAGAAAGGCTACCCAGTTGGAGTCACCTCATGTAAATCAGATCTTTCCTGCTCACATCAAGATAGCCTTCTTACTGACATCTGGATCATGGGCTCTGCCATGAGTGGCCATCTCACCAACACCTGAGTCTTGTCCTTTGCAATGAGTGGCCATCTTGCTAACACCTGGATCATGGCCTCTGCAATAAGTGGCTAGGATTTTTTTGTTTTAAATTAGTAACCTAACTTTAACATTTGTGCCAATAACAAGGAGTATGCAACAGAATTAGAAGCTAACATTGAGATGTCTTGTCTCCCATTCTGGGCTACTGAATTGCCCCCTGTAAATGGAATGTAGCCTTAGGACAGCATTTCCTAAAGTTATTCAGAGGAATAGAACAGTTATTTCCAAGGTGGAGGCTGAAGTGTTGCTAGGATGCCGAATAGGAGTCAGTGGAGATTCCAGACTGAGATGGACTAGAAAGAAAGGCCTGGTGATCAACTTCTGAAAATCAGCCATGAAAACCCTGTGGGGCACAGGGTCCAATCTGCAACTGATCACAGGGATGGCAAAGGACCAAGCAACATTTCATTCTGTTGTGTGTAGGTCACCATGAGTTGAGGCAACTTGATAGCAGCTGACACCAACAATCCTAGAGAACATCAGTCCCTTGAGATGGTCAATGACAAAAAAGTTTTCTTAGTCAAGTCAATTTGGTCACCACTTGTCATCCATCTCCTCTCATTTCCTTCTCCATACGTTGGGCATTCATAATTTACATTAACAAGTTAAAGACTCTCAGATGGACCACTGCAAAGAAACCTGTTCGACTTTTAATGCTGGGTTTCCACACCTGGTTAGACTATGTTGTTGTTGTTAAGTGCTGTCAAGTCATTTCCGACTCATAGCGACTCCATGCACAGCAGAACAAAACACTGCCCGATCCCGCGCCAGCCCCACAATCCCTGCTATACTTGAGCCCATCATCGCAGC